GTTTTCATGGTTGGCTGATGAGCACATTTTAATATGCCGCATGGTAAAAGGTTTTTTTTTTTTTAGTTTTTGACCATGGATACCCTTTAAACACCAAACTTTCTGCATTAATCAATGGCCAACACGGTAGAATACTTTACTACTACTTAATGCTTGCATGTAAAGTCAATCAGCATAAAACTGCATCTCTGGTTCACTCCCAAAGTTTTCATTTTGCTGGCCCTGTACAAGCCACATCTTGTGCTACCCTGGAGGTGCAGACGTGTAATCTGTTTGGTATTCCTCCCCAGCCTTCCTTCAGGAAGAACAGCAAACAGAGCCAAGGCCGCCAGACACCAGAGAGGTTTACAATGCCTTCAATTCAGCCTGTCTGGCCTGTTTCCTGTGCGGGAGGGGGCAGAGATCGTTACCTTGGCAGTGGCTAAGTTGAATTGTGCGAGAGTTTTCTACAGAAGAGAATTATGTCATGCTGAAAGGAGTGAGTGGGAAATTGTTTTACTTCTGCAGAACAACAGCATGGAAAATAACGTAAAAGACGCCTTAGGGTAGGTTCACGCCCCAGCGCATATGCGTTGCATGCGCTGGTGATGTGCGGGGGAGTTTTTTTGCTTGCATTGCATTGTGGTTTTTATGTGTCTTGTGGTGCAGAGCGGGTTTTAACGCATTACCTTTTTTTTTTTTTAACTCAATACCTTTTTAACCTAATGTGCGTTGCGATACATTGCAATTGTCTGCAGTGTGATAAAATGATGCCTGCCTTATTTTAAATTTTTTATACACTCGCATTACAAAAGCAAGGCCTTGTGCATGCATTGGACTGCATTGACACATGAGGTGTGAACAAGCCCTTAACGAATAAGTTTACCTTTTAGGCCTCATTTACACAGCGTAAAGTCAGGCCGTACAGATACGCAGCAGCCTGTTCTTCCCTATGGGAGGATGGAGCCGTACGCTGTCATATGCTCATCTGAACTGCACATCCGTGCGGGTCTGGGTGCCAGGTGCTTCGGACACCGACAGGATCCATTCTGTCTGCGTCTGAGTATGGATGCCCGGACACAGATGTGCCGCTCGGGTGTGCGTATGGCCGTGTCCTCCCATAGGGAAGAACAGGTTGCTGCGTGCAATCACACGCAGCACCTATCCCTCCGGGGAATGGCCCGATAAGGCCGTGCATGCCGCACAGATCTGTAGGGCCCGACTTTACGCTGTGTGAACGAGGCCTTACACAAAACATGAGAAAATGATTTACTCACAGCACCCTCCCCACCTCCAACTGTCCTCGCTGCACTTAGCTGCACGTTCACATCAGTCCCCGCCCTCAAGGCGCTTACAATCTAAGGTCCCAATCTCGCAATTATACATACAGAGCCGATTTTAGACAAGAGCCAATTAACCTTTCACCACGTTTTTTTTTTGGGGGGGGGGGGGGTTGCTTTTGTGTCAATGGAATGTATAACTGCTTTAACCTGGGGAAGTTTGTTGTGCCACAATATATTCATTACTATATAGGTTCTATTGCTATATATGCCCCAAGATGGGACCCAAGTTTGTTAGATTGGAGTAAATGAACACACTTTACAGAGGTGCTTTGGTGCAGCAATGTGGCCCTAACGTATATATGTGAACATGTATGCAGCAAAACCTCCATTTTTAAAGTGACCCTAAACTCAGGAGTTAACCCTTAAAAATGCATTTGAGTACCTTAGCCATTAACACAAAATGTATCTTATTTGTGTATCACTCGGCTGTAGATTCTCAAATCATCTCTGAATTGGTGCTGACACTGTCCTTCCTTCTGGAGGGGGGCTACTTTTGTTCCCCATGGTCCCTGTGTGTGTTGTAAAGTAGTCACCGCTCCAAGCTCACTCCTGTGATGGACTACAATCTCACGTTTAGTTACTAATTTTAAATGAGATTGTAGTCCATTTACGAGATCACGCTTCAACAAATGTCAAATTTAAAAAATAACTTATTTTGAGCCGGATGGTGCTGGCAGGGCAACAAATTTCGGCTAATTCCTCAAGAAATGTCCAAAATTCTATCTGTGCATGGCCAACTTTAGTGTGCTGAGGTACTACTTGTATTGCATTGATTTTTTGGCTCAAGCTGGTAATGCATGGAACGTTGCTTAATTCCCCTATACACACAAAGGGGAGTAGATGGGGCAGTCCCCTCTCTGGGCTATTGTATTCAGACAGCAGCAGAATACATGACCGGGGAGTGCCGCAGAAGTCAGCAGGACTCAGCCAAAGTTCAAGCAGTGTATACTAGGTTTAAGGGTTACAATGTTTGAGTCTGATCACTGGGGGAAGAGGAAACTTCCTCCTGCTTGCAGCAGAATGTTGACATCATCTCAGCCTAGGTACATACCCTTTACTAGAGATCAAAGGAGTGCTTTCTAAGATAAAAGGTAGAGAGTTTGTCTGGAATGTATTTGTACCAAATTTTAAAGCTACTAAAAAAAATTCCACTATAACTTGACAGCAAAATGTCTTGGTACACCAGTGCAGAGGGCATTCTGTACATCAGGGCAGAGGGCACTCTGTACATTATCCCTTCACTATATAATCAGCCATATGGAACCAAGAAAGCACAACTCTTGCCTTGGCTTTTTTTTTTTTCTTCAATATGTGGATAGGATTTGAAAAGTCACTTCAGGACTCAGGAATAGAATTGTTTAGCTGTACTGTAATAAATCCTGCCAAAAAGCCCGCACAAATTAGACTCTAAAAATATTCTTGGCAAATAGTTCTCTTTTTATCAGATACCATCCCACACTCCACTCTAAGAGGTGTGGATTTTCAGTATACAATTGATGGAGGTGCCCTCCGCACACCTTTCAGCAGTCCCGGCCAACAATCAAATAAATGGTGCTCGAAGTAACTTCACGGATGGCACCGTGCAAAACACAAGATTGAAGAAAATAGGTCACCAGCACTCCATAAGTTAAAATGAATGAGTCCTTTTAATGGACAATGATGTCACAGAAATCCAACATGAGCCGACGTTTCGGGGCCACACAGGGTCCCTTCTTCAAGGCAAGAGATGTGGTCACATCTCTTGCCTTGAAGAAGGGACCCTGTGTGGCCCCGAAACGTCGGCTCATGTTGGATTTCTGTGACATCATTGTCCATTAAAAGGACTCATTCATTTTAACTTATGGAGTGCTGGTGACCTATTTTCTTCGATTTTCAGTATACCACATTCTGTTTCTTGTAAGCTGCGTAAACCCTATGGCACGTGGTCTAAGCGGCGAAAGATTGGCCGTCCACTGACCTAGCCATTTTGTAATTTATAGAAATGTGTTGTGCCACAAAGCTCCTATATTGTGCAGGGGGCAACAGAAGCTATTGTATGCAAGCCACGTGAATTTGCTGATAATACCAGCCCATCCCCTTTACAGCCTTTTTAAAGTGGCCCGTTCTTTTGCCCATCGTAAAGAAAAATAGGTTACTTGACTCCACCCTTCCCCGGAAGAGCATGTACCCTCCTTTCCTTCTCTAGCCTACCACTCACTTCAGCCAGCACTTTCAAGTGTAATTGAGCTTATGATTCACTCCCCATTTCCCACGTGACAGCATTGCAATTGACCCAACACTGTCACCTGGGCGCAGGGAAAGTGCCGGGAGCTCAGTGTTATGTCAGACCAGTCTGTTTGGAACTTACACAGCTCCTTAATTTTCTGATCCACGTGACGGAACTGGAATGTGAAAAGTGTATATATGCTGCTGAAAGGGGGAAGTTAGGCAGTTAAGTGACCCCTTCCTATTCTGACCGTGACATGCTGAAAGTATCACAACTAGGAAATTAATTTGCGGTTCCATGTTGCTGGTTTGCAGTCAGCATTCCAATTCATCTTGAAGTTGTTCAGTAAGGTTGAAGTCAGAGCTTTGTGCAGTCCACTCTAGTTCCTTCACACCAGGCTCGTAAAACCATCTCTTGACTGCTGAGAATCATAGTTAAACACTTATTTTACATTGAAAATACTTTTGTTACCTTTGCCCTCCCACCGCCAATGACTACTAGACAAAGTAACTTTGTTGGAAGGGCAAGGCCACAGCTTTATTGACATATTATCATCATATAAAACATAAACTCTTTTCTGTTTACATTAAATCTTTTCTGTTTACATTAACCCCTTCGTGACTCCCGGCGACTTTTGCCGCCGGGAGTCTGTTTAAACTTGTAGAGCCGACTGTCAGCTTTACAACAGAAGCGATCCTGACCAGTCACGGATAAACCGCAAGCACCCAAACATCATGACTTTATAACCCAATGCAGAAAATCTGTCTTCACCATCAGTTCTAGACACATGTCCAACCATCAAAGAATTTCAGCAAAGTTAACGTGGTAACCGATTAAGCTGGCAAGGTCCAGAAACATGCCAACAAAGCTGTGACAAGTTAGAAAAGAAAAATTAGGCGAGGGTGGGCAGGGATGTTCAGCTTGCTGGTCGACTCCCAAGAGGCCAGCAAGCCCACTTCTTCCTCCCACTTATAACACTTTGCTTGTCTCCGCCTTTGTAAGCTACTCCCCCAATTAATTGATTACGCCCCCTTATACAGGACGGGTCCATTTTACTGACCACATCCTTACTGCATGATTCCAGCAGTCAAGGCTCCCTCTCCTTACAGGTCACGGGATCTGCCATTATAGAGCTGGCTTTGTGCACGGGGCACAACCATGCTGGAACAGAGAAAGGTCTTCACCAAACTGATGGCACAAAATTAAAAGCACACAAGTGTCTAAACTGTCTTTATAGTGTAGCATCAACAGTATTCACTTCATAGCATTAACCTTCACTGGAAACACCTGAACACAATTATTTTTCAGGTTATCTACACACTTTTGGTCATATAGCTTAGTTATATTGCAGGAAATATATTTTTTATGAAGTCTGTTTCTTTATTGGCTGACCTTATTGTATATGAATAAATTATTGGTGTTCATTATCCCTATTTTATTTTGCAGTGTTGAATGAATACAAACTTGTGATCATGGGAGATATGAAGACCCCAGACTTTGATGACCTTCTTGCAGCTTTTGACATTCCTGACATGGTGGATCCCAAGGCAGCTATTGAGTCTGGCCATGATGAACATGATCACATGAAGCAAAATGCCCAAGGGGATGATGATAACCATATCCCTTCATCATCGGACGTCGGTGTCAGTGTTATAGTGAAAAACATAAGAACCATCGACTCTTCTGAGACATCTGACAAAGACCATCATCACACCACCGGCAATGGTTTGCACAATGGCTTTCTCACCATTTCCAATCTTGAACGGTTTAACAAAGAAGGGCTGAAGTCTCTGAAGGACAAAGCCATTGCATCTGGAACCATTCCGAAAGAGACCGTCTTTAACCAGTTCAGTCCTATTTCCAGTGCTGAAGAATTTGATGATGATGAAAAAATTGAAGTGGACGATACTACCGATCCAGAAGCCTCGTGCCCAAGCTTTGGCTCTAGTATTTTAAATCAGCATCACTATGAACGGGACAAAGCTGTTGAACATTTAATAAAGTCTGGGACTGCCATCTCCAACAACTTTGAAAAAAACAAAGAAGGCAAACAAAACTATGAGGTTGGCTCGGTATTTGAAACCTTTAAGATTAAAAACCTTGATGAGAAACTGGAAGAGAGTACTCGGAGAATGTTAGAGAACAAAGCTATTGATGGCAAACTGGACCCAGAAAAAAGTGAGGTAAATGGAGGAAATGTAGCACAGCTGAAGTTAAAATCTTCTGCAAAGCTTTCCTCGTGTATTGCTGCGATTGCGGCTCTTAGTGCAAAGAAGGTAACATGTGACCCAAAGGATATACACCCGATTCCAGAGGAGTCCTCTCAAGTACCAAAAGAAATTGACAAACCTTTGGCCAACATAAAATCTACTGATGCTCAATTGACAATGCAAAATCTCATTGATGGTACAAAGAGGACCCCGGTAAAGCCATCGGACAGCCCGAGGAGTGTATCGAGTGAGAACAGCAGCAAAGGCTCTCCATCATCTGGCGGCTCAACTCCCGCTATACCAAAAGTAAGAATCAAGACCATCAAGACTTCTTCCGGAGAAATCAAAAGGACTGTCACAAGGGTGTTGCCTGATTTCGAAGCTGAAGGTACAAAACAAGTATCGGATCAGACTTCGCCTCTGGTAGTCTCTTCTCTTTTGTCATCCCCAACATCTGCTGCTGCTACTATTCTTTCTTCACCTACTAGAGCATCCTTGCAAACGACGGTCGCTACTAATGCGGTTGTGTCAACAGATGGCACTGCAAAACAGGTTACAATCAAACCAGTGGCCACAGCTTTTTTACCTGTATCTGCAGTAAAAACTGCGGGATCGCAAGTGATCAATTTGAAGTTTGGAAACAATACCACAGTCAAAGCCACAGTTATATCTGCTGCATCCGTCCAAAGTGCCAGCAGTGCCATCATCAAAGCGGCCAATGCCATTCAACAGCAAACCGTGGTAGTTCCGGCTTCCAGTCTTGCCAATGCAAAACTTGTGCCAAAGACGGTGCATTTTGCCAATCTTAACCTTTTGCCTCAAGGTTCTCAAGCTACTTCAGAGCTTCGTCAAGTGTTAACTAAACCCCAGCAGCAAATAAAGCAAGCTCTTGTACCGACCTCTGCTGTGACTCCACCCAGGAAGGTGTCCAGAGTCCAAGTGGTGGCTTCCTCCCAAAGTTCTGTGGTGGAGGCCTTCAACAAAGTACTGAGTAGTATAAATCCTGTCCCAGTCTATGTTCCCAACCTAAGCCCACCAACAAACGCAGGAATTACCCTGCCAGCACGGGGATACAAATGTTTAGAATGCGGAGATGCCTTTGCTCTTGAAAAGAGTCTTTTGCAACATTATGATCGCCGAAGTGTTCGGATTGAAGTAACCTGCAACCATTGTGCAAAAAATTTAGTTTTTTACAATAAATGCAGTCTTTTGTCTCATGCGCGTAGTCATAAAGAGAAAGGAGTCGTGATGCAATGTTCGCACCTTATCCTCAAGCCAGTGCCAGTAGATCAAATGATTGCGTCGGGCCAGAATACCGCTCCTGCTCCTCCGACCCCAACTCCTCGACAAACCCCGGCTGCTTTGCTGGTCCATCCTGTATCAAAGGCACAGTCTATAGCATCGGGACCAGTGATATCTGCTCCTGCTAGTACACCACTTGCTCCTGCGATGCCTTTGGATGAAGATTCATCTAAGCTGTGCAGACATAGTTTGAAGTGTTTGGAATGCAATGAAGTCTTTTCAGATGAAACCTCCTTAGCAACACACTACCAACAAGCTACAGATGCAGCTGGACAAGTACGGTACCATGTATATAAATAGAAGTGTTTGGTTTGATGTTAAGATTAACTTTTTGGTGGGCAGTCCTTGTATTCAGCAGTGGTTTAACTTCCACCAGCAGTTGCAGATCAAGCTCAAAGGAGAACTATGAGGTGAGTGCTTTTCACTCACCTCATAGTTCTAGCCGACCTGTGACAATGAGGCTGTCACAGGTCGGCTCAGTAGATCGGGAGGTGAGCGAACACATACCGGTGCTCTCTGCCGTGACAGGGGAGGGGCTGGATTCCCCACTCCGATCCGCCAGCGCTGACTGGAGGAATGGACGGGGGAGGGGGCGGGTATAGCTGGCTCTGCCTCTAGATAGGCAGAGCCAGCTGTCAGTCACGCAGCTGGGCAGATCCCGGCACAATTGTCGGGCTCCGCTTCAGCTGCGGCGTCTCAGTATACTGCGAGCTACAGCTCGTGGTATACTAAGCCTAGGGTGACGGGAGGACGCTAGTTTGTGTCCTCCCGTTACCCTAGGGAGAACTATGGGGAAATGCCTTAACTCCATAGTTCTCCTTTAAGTAGTTTCTGGGTTATCTAATAAGCTGCTGTTAATTTAAGTGGTGACCACTGTAAATGGGTAATAAAGTTGTGGGGAGTCCAAAATCATTCCAGTCTTGCCAGAACATAAGGTGAGAGTAAATGTTGCATTGGGGAAGCTTGTTCCAGGAATTCCCTTCACTTCACTGCAGAGATGTCCTTTCACTTAATGTTGCATCTTCAGTACAGGAAGTTAAGTCTTTGTAATAAACTACAGATACCATAAATTGACAGAGACCCTACTCTATCCAAAAGAAAAAATATATATAGTTCTGCATACACTTTAAGGATATAATTTTAAAAAGTATGAGCCATATATTAGAATCATATTATTGGGCAAGTTGTCCTGTGAGATGATGTTTGGAGTAGTAAAAGGCACAAAGTGTGGAGCCTAGGCACAAAATCAGCAAGTGAGGGACCTCTGCAGAGGACTTTATGCCATCTGCTGTCTAGAAGTGGTATTGCAACTGGTGTTGCATTATGTAATTTTGTTGTTAACACTTCCAGTGTGTATAGTTTTCTTCAATCACTTTATAAAACTCCTAATTTATATTAACAGAGTATATACATAAAGGTTAGAGTGAGAAGGGACTCAAAGAATAAAAATGTCCACCAACCATACCAGTGCATAGTGCAGTATAGATTTCTTACAACAGAAAATATTTGCATGTTTCATTCCATCGCATATCCCCAAAAAAGAAGGATTGTCCCTCATTTGAGGACTGTGGATGGAGCCATGCTGTCTCGCTGGGTCCCAAGCCGTACTGTATAGAAGCCATGGTTTCCAAAAAGCCTGAAAGGGCTGCATGCAGTTTGGAATAAATGGCTCTATAATTTTGGGCTATATTACAGTAATACCTCAGCTCACGAACGCTTCTGTTCGCGAACAATTCGGTTCACGAACAGGAAGTTCAGCAACTCCTGTTCGCGAACTCCAAAGCGGTTGACGAACACGACCGCGGCCATCTTCCCCGCTCTGACACGTGGTCGTGGCTTCCTCTAGTCGACATTGCGGTTGTAGACAAACCTGTGCACACTTGCTGTGAATGTTTTTTGTGTGCTTTTTATCACATATAGTACTGTGCAGTATTATTCAATCCAGCATGGCTCCAAAGAAAGTGCAGAGCAAGCAGGGTCCTAAAAAGAAAGTGCAGAGCGGTAATGAATTTACATATGGTTCAGAACGGATTAACCTCATTTACATTGAACCCTTTGGGAAAATTTTGATTCTGTTCGTGACCAAAATCGGTTTGCGACCACGTTCGTAGGGGTCAGAACAGATTAACCTTATTTGCATTGAACCTTATGGGGATATTTGATTCGGTTTGCAACCAATTTGGTTTGCGACCAGAATCGTGAAACGAATTAAAGGAGAACTATGAGGTGAGTGCTTTTCACTCACCTCATAGTTCTAGCTGACCTTTGACAATGAGACTGTCACAGGTCGGCTCAGTAGATCGGGAGGTGAGCGAACACATACCGGGTTCGCTCGCCTCTTGATCCTGTCACGGCTCTCCGATCCGCCAGCGCTGACTGGAGGAACGGACGGGGGAGGGGGCGGGTATAGCTGGCTCTGCCTCTAGATAGGCAGAGCCAGCTGTCACTCACGCAGCTGGGCGGATCCCGTCATCTAAGTCGGGATCCGCTCCGGCTGCGGCTTTTCAGTATACCGTGAGCTATAGCTCGCGGTATACTGAGCTTGGGGTGACGGGAGGACGCTAGTTTGTGTCCTCCCGTTACCCTAAGCAGAACTATGGGGAAAAACACTGACCCCATAGTTCTCCTTTAAGTTCATGAACCGAGGTAACACTGTAACTTTATAGACTAGGGGTGCATCTTGCCGTTGGGGCATAAATCAGTGATTTGCATTGCTCCGCCCACTGTCTTAAAATGAGGAATGAGGCTCTTATTTTTTGGGTAATGTGATGGCATGAGACGTGAATAACTTCTGTTTTAGGAAGGCTTTACTGCTCTATTGAAAGATTCTCAAATCTATATGGTCAGCTGGACACTCAGTTTTGTTGCTTTTAAAAATTCAAATTGAATCAACAACCCATTTTAAATGAGCAATTTAGTGAGACTTATTCATCAAAATTGATCAGTTTACAGTGAAATGACTTATTTGATTGGGTAAGATTAGAAAAAAATTCCATCTATGGAGTGTGGGAGAGTTAGAACTTCTGTATTGCTATGTTCCTTTCCGGAAGAGTTCCCTTTACTTGCTATCCTGGTGATCAGTGTCATGTTGAACAGAAAGTGAAGAGAGATCTCCTGGGTGGAAACAGACAGACAATAGGACCCACATAGCTTTCGTTCTCTATTCCAAAAGTAACAAAAGCCTTGGATGGACTTGCCTTTTTAGTTTTGTCGATGATGTAGATCTGCAAATAAGCCCAAGTTAAGCAGTGGTTGAGTAAAGAGAAGACCGTTGCTGCATCCGGTGACAACCTCCTGCATGAGGGTCACCTGGCCAATCACTTTCATTGATAAGTTAATCAGGTAGGTTATAAAAACATCATGATCACTCCTCCTCCCATGATAAACCTAACTGATTACTAGCTGATTGACGTTAGTTACAACCAATTTTTACTAAAAAAAAAAACTGTGCTTTTAGGGGTAGTTCGCACCAGATGCAGTCCGTTCAGTTTGGCAGCTGCATCCAAAATGCATCACAATGCTTATCAATGATATTGGGGAAGGTGTTAATAGCCATGTTTCTGTGTTTGCAGATGATACTAAAATTGGGAGGGTAATAGACATGGACTTATACACTATAACATTACAGGAGGACCTGGATAAAATAGGGGAGTGGGCAACCATATGGCAGATGAGGTTTAATGTGGAAAAATTTTAAGTAATGCATTTTGGGGTTAAAAATAGGCATGTGGAATACACAATAATGGATGCTCCCACTAGGGAAGGCAGAAATGGATAAAGATTTGGGGGTCATTGTAGACCACAGATTGAATAATAGCTTGCAATGCCGGGCTGCGGTAAATAAAGCGAGCAGGGTACTATTAAAAAGGGAATGTACTGTAGAGACAAAGCAATAATTTTGCCACTTTATAGATCGCTGGTTCGGCCTCATCTGGAGTATGCGGCCCAGTTTTGGATACCAATCCACAGAAAGGATGTCCTTGAACTGGAGAGAGTCCAGAGAAGGGCAACGCAACTAATTAAGGGGCTGGAGGACCAGAGCTATGAGACAAGGTTACTAAATTTAAACTTGTTCACGCTGGAGGTGCGGAGATTAAGAGGGGACATGACTTTGATGTACAAAATGTTTAAGGGTGATGGCAATATCAACAATAAACTTTTTACAGTAACTCCATAACAAAGACTAGAGGCCACCACCTAAAACTGGTGGAGAAAAGATTTAACAACAAAGGGCGTAGGGGCTTTTTTTTCAGTTAGAACGGTTACATTCTGGAACTCGCTGCCACAAGTAGTGGTATCAGCTGAGAGTATTGAATCATTCAAAAAGCATTTAGATTCCTTCCTCAGAGACCGTAACATACAGGGGTACAGGTATACTTAAAAACAAGATCACACAGGGACTCGTGTACACACACACACACACACACACACACACACGCACAACACATACACACAGACACACAAAGGTTGAACTTGATGGACCTGTGCCTTTATTCAACCTCAAATACTATGTAACTATGTTTTCTAATGGGATTTCTGCTGCTCTGCTCACACCAGCGCAATCCGTTCCGATGCAGTCAGAAAAAATACTGCTTGCTCTATTTTCGGATCGCAACAGAACGCATCAAAAACGCATGCGAACGCACCTGAAATCCCATTTTAAGTGGGGGAGAAACAAAAGCGTTAATTGTGGTAAAATCACAGCAAAACGCATCACACTGCATCTGCGCAGGCGCACGCAGTTCTGCTGTCAACTAGCCCTTAGATTGACTGGCTGTTTTGGGCCAAAAAAAGTCAATGGGTCCTTGCACGGTGTCCCGTGTCTCTTACAGTCACTCTTCTCAGAGCTGCAGTCTTAGTTGGCTTCTTCGACACTTCTGGGAGTGTTGGATGCTTTTGTCCCCCGCCTCACGCTCTGGTTCCATCCTCTGACCACTATGCCACTACAGGACACAGCAGAGACGTGGGGGTCATGGTCTGATCCGAGAGAGTGCACAATCCATGTGTTTTAACACAAGTTCAAAACGTTTACCACATCAAAGTAGACCTAAAACTTCTATTTTTTTCAATCCAATCAAAGCACAGAAAGCTTCCATCCCACACACTGCATTTCAACTTGAAGGCCAGCAGATGTGCTAACGTTGGGGTTTGACAATGACTTGCCTCCTTATATCCTGTTTCTTGCAGACCAAAGTCTGCAATCATTTATCAAGGCACACCTCCAACCAGACCTCCCCCCCCCCTTCTAGTGTGGTCACTGAGACAGGAAGTAGGCAAAATCTCTCCAACAGAGGGACAGATAGTAATAAAAAATTAGAGTAAGAGCCAAGTAGAATTGGGAAGGGTACAGACCTTACCCTCCTCCTCACTATACTAAATCCAACAAGAAAAGTTTTGGCTTGAGTTGGGCCTATTCCCAGGAAGTGTCCTCAGTGGTGGTCCAAGGCTTTGTAAGAGTGTTACATTTTTATGTGTTTGATAATCCTGCTGTCTTTTAGATGCCCTCCTGTTCCATTATGGCTGTGTCAAGCCAATAGTCTGCATGCCGTGTGTGGTTACACTTTTTACCGTTATTTGGGTCTGTAGTGGTTTTTACCGTAGGGGCGGATATGGAAATTCTGGTGGAGACATCTCACCACTGGATCTATAGAAAGCCAACTTGTGAGTCAGCTTACCAAAAACCACACAAGGCAGCAACAAAGTTTTGTGACTTGAAAGCTTCCCGAAGCTTTAGTAACTGAACAGCAAATCTTTCTTTTTTTTGCAGAGGACGTGTAGCGTCTGTATGATGCTTCTACCCAACCCGTGCAGCTTTGCCTGCCACCAGCGCATTCATCAACACAAATCTCCATACACGTGTCCCGAGTGTGGCGCAATCTGCAGGTCGGCGCACTTCCAGACGCACATCTCCAAGAACTGTCTGCATTACACCCGCAGGATCGGCTTCCGGTAAATTTTTATCTCAATCCCAGAAGTATGATGACCTGCGCTGGTCAATGAATGAGAAGGACGAGTTTAAAAAATATACTAGATTGTTTGTTTATATATTTTAACCAGTTAAGCCCGGGAGCCTTTTTCATGCTTTAGCTATAGGTTATTTTGGCAATAATTTATATAGAAGTAAGTGGCGTCACAAGGGCGGTACGGCCTGCACCCGGTGACCCCATCAGAGGGGGTGACACCAAAATGACTGACAGTAATTCTCACCTCCTCTGAAAAGTTGGACACTCGGTAATGGACGGAGAGGTAGACAGCTGCACGAGAGGAGGGGATCCGGCGGCATACCTTATCTCGCTGGCTGTATGTCCTCTCCCCCTCTCTTAGCCAGCGTCCATGACCAAGATGGCTGCCAACAGCGAAGTGCACGTGTCTTCGTCGTTACATCACGTGAGTATGTAATGACGTATGCACCAGGTAACACCCGGCAGCCGCACCGTGTGACACCCTTCCTGGTGACAACTCTGCAGAAGTAAGATAATAAAATATATATATAATGCACCAATACCGGTTTTACTATTTTTTTTTTACGGTACTCGCCGATACCGAGTTCCGGTGCATTGTGCCCAGATTATGAGGAAGTCAGGCGATGGATCATGACCCGTCACCCGACTTCCTGATTGCCTCCGAAGCCGGTGTTCTAGCAAAAACACCAAAACACCGGCTTCAGAGGCTGCCTGGCTTACTGACCAATCAGGTAGCCGGGCGGCACGTCATGACCTGCCTCCCGGCTTCCTGATTGGCTAGGAAGCCAGCTTCACTTGTTTCTAGGCAGCGTGGCTTCCTGACCAATCAGGAAGCCGGGATGCAAGTCATGACATGCCGCCCGCCTTCTTAGGAAGCCAGGCTGCTTAGCAACACATGAAGTCAGCTTCCTAGCCAATCAAGAAGCCGGGAGGAGGGTCATAACCCACTGCCCAGCTTCCTAATGGGCATCACAGAATAGTACCCCTCCTCATCTCCATAACCCCTCCTCATCTCCTCCCACCTTCTCATCTCCATAACCCATCCTCATCTCCTCCCACCTCCTCATATCGCAGGGGGGAAAAAACACCCTCCGCTCTGCCTATACACTCCTCCCACTTCCTCCATTTCACAATGCCTCATGGGAGTTGTAGTCTGTTCTCTATGCCAGGATATGACATTCACTGGTTACCTAGATCCTTCCACTGGCTGCAGGAAGGACTGATCTAATTATGGTAGAATGTGACATCACTGGCAGCTAAAAATGAGGATTACAAGAAAAGTAAGAAGTTTCATGATAAATTGTTAAAGCAGTTTGCTTGCTCTGACTGAGAGGGGACCTAATTTATATAAAGTAATGTGTATCCCGGAGTTCTTCTTTAATCTTCCTCCCCCAAGTGGGCATGTATGCAGGCGGAGAACTGGTTGCTTCCACCAGAGCAGCCAGTTGGTAGCATTCCCTGCACTCTACTCGCCTCCTGCTATGGCTCAATCCCAGCACCCAGTGCATAGAAGTGTGGGGTGTGGGGTGGGGAGTGAGTATCGCAGGGAGAATTTTTTTGAAGTTTTAGGTTAAAGGTTGAGGTAAAAAATCGTAAAGGATCATTAAACACTCAAATTTTTTGCATATATCTACTGCTACCAAGTAGTAGATATATGCAAAAACATAAAAAAAGAGCCAAATCGGTTTAAACTTACCTGTGTCTCCGCTCCCTTCTGAAGATTCTCGGGCGGCCGCAAAGGCTCATGGAGTGGGGATGTGCGCAGTTCAGTGACGTGCGGTACCTCTTGCTTGGGGTGAGGCATTTGCCTGCCCCCGCCGAAGGATGCCTCCCCTGACCGCACGTCCCTGGCGCAGTTCAGATCTTCGGTTGGGAGAGGAGGAGAGACACCGGGTAGGTCAATGCATGGAGACCGGCAGCGTGCATCCACACAGACTCCGTGGTACAGGAAGACACAGCAGTCAGCGCTGGATCAGAGACCGGCACCAGCGTTGCAGGGACTCCTGAAAAAGGTAAGTCCTTAAAGCAGCATTGGGAGGGGGAATTGTTGACTTTAATGTCACTTTAACTCTTTTTTTTGCAATTCTGCTTCAAAGACAATTATTTTTTCATCATTACCAAATCCCTTCATTGGTGTAGGGGTACTCGGCTTTATTTGACATGACACAACTGCAAGGTGTAAACACTATAGAGGCTGTGGGTTTCTGTGATGAGATCTGTATAGTTCTGAAACAAGACATGTTCAAGTGCTCCTAACATGGCTCTGAAAAATGCAAGTCTTGGGTGGGAGGCATCAAGTAAAACAACCCCAGTGAAGAGGGGGATGACTTCCCATTGTGTCATGATGTAATTACTGACTTTCAGATGTATCTTGTATTTTCACAGGTGCATGCACTGCAATGTCGTCTACTCAGAAATAGCAGCATTAAAGTGTCACATTCAAGGATCCCATTGTGAGGTCTTCTACAAGTGTCCAATCTGTCCGATGGCATTTAAATCTGCACCCAGCACCCATTCTCATGCATATACCCAGCACCCGGGTGTGAAGATAGGAGAACCTAAGTACGTATAATAAATCATTTTCACATATTTGAAAAAGCATTTGATAAAGAAACAATATGATGAATCTCAATAAGGTCATATTTTAAGTATAGTTAAACCTTTTTTTTTGCATATATCTACTGCTAGCAAGTAGTAGATATATGCAAAAACATAACAAAAAAAAGTAACCAAAAAGGGTTTTACTTACCTGTGTCTCTGAAGATCTGAAAAATTCTTGAGCAGCTGCGAAGGATCATGAAGCGGGTGCATGCGCAGTAGAGGTCTTTGGTCGGGAGAAGAGGAGAGACACTGGGTAGGTCAATGCAGGCAGCCCGGCAGCATGCACCTGCACAGACTCCGTGGGACAGGAAGAGACAGGAGTCAGCTCCGGTTCAGAGACCAGCACCAGCGCTGGAGGGACTCCTGAAAACTACAGGAAAGGAGAAGATGATCGGCTCAAGAGGCATCATATTGGGGGGTATTTTATCCTTTAATGTCACTTTTAAGTGCATCTGTTTTGAAGCCATGTTCAATCAAACAGGAAGGTAAGGAACAGTAGGCAATGTCCCCAGTTTCCCTTTCCAAGTAGAGTATATCAGAAGAGTAGTCTTGAGTTGGCCATACACTATGTGAATTTCGGCTGGTTCTTGGTGTCTTTCGGGCGGCCTCCCCACAATCCGCAGATCAAAGGAGCCGGTTGGAAAATCTTCGAACAAACAGAGGCTGCAGCCACTATCAGAATAAGTGGGAGAAAGTGGGAGACTCTTCTAAGAATGCTCGTAAGCGTTGATGGAAGAATCTGTTATATTTTCTTCGTTCAGCCCACAGTTTGAACAAAGAAAATATTAGTGTATGGCCAGCTTTAAAGTAGAACTATGCCCCCCCCCCATTAAAAATGTGTCCTGCAGAACTTACTGTAAGTGCATCTACACTGAGGGGGAGTTTCTTTATAAACATTTTGCAGCGCCATTAACCCTGCGAATATCTGTAAACTTTTGTTCTGTGCAGATATATGGCAAAATGAATATTCTTTAGTTGTTTCTTTACAAGGGAAAGGGTTTTTTTTTAAAATGCAATATGGCACTATGGGCACTAGATGGAGCTAAAGGGACATATCCATCTTGTCTTTTGTATTGTGTTTTAACTTTGAATTGTATTTGTAACCGTAATGCTGTATTCTTAATGCTGTGAAGCACTGAGCAAACTGTTAGTGCTATATAAATCTTGTATAATGAAACTGATAATAGGAAAAAAGTACTTATTTTCTATGCTCCTCAGCACTATCTAGTGGTCATATTGTGATAGTGCATGAAAAAAACCAATATATACTTGTAAGAAAGAGAATGTTCTAAAGCAGCGGTCGCCAACTGGTGGTCCGTGCACCGCTGGTGGTCCGCGAGATAATTTTGGTGGTCCCCCGGGCCCATCTGATGCCATGCAGGCTGAGCCGTCATTGAAGCGGCACGGAGGCTCCGGGGCTGCCTCTTACTGACTCAAGCAGCTGCTGTCACAAGGAATGCACGGCTCTCAGTACAGTCCGGGCTCTGCAGGAGGCGGGGCATCTCATCAGTACCCGGACTGAGCAGGAATATATATATATATATATATATAATTTTTTTCTCATATACAAATATATTCTCGTGTGTGTGTGTGTGTGTGTATATATAAATATATTCTCATATGCGTGTGTGTGTATATATAAATATATTCTCATATGCGTGTGTGTGTGTGTATAAATATATTCTCATATGCGTGTGTGTGTGTGTGTGTGTGTATAAATATATTCTCATATGCGTGTGTGTGTGTGTGTGTGTGTGTATATATATATAATTTAAATTCATATTAGTGGTCCGCAGGGTTTAAAATTATGAATTTAGTGGTCCATGAGTTCCGAAAGGTTGGTGACCGCTGTTCTAAAGAGTGTTTGTTTTGGCATATATCTGCACAGATTGAATATTCACAGGGTGAACAGCCCTGTGAATAGTTTATAATTAGACCCCTTAGCTTTCTCTTAGTCCCCCTGCAAAATCTTACATTAATCCTGCCAGTAACGTTGACTGCATGCAGCTTGCTGTAAGCTGTAACCTACAGGCTTTCTGTGATTGGAGGAGAGAGGAGGGAGCAGGAATGTGGCATCAATTCCTTCTCCAATTACAGAACTCCTTGTGTTCTTTGCGAAAAATACTAGGCATTTTGTGAATGGTCAAGTAATGAGAAGGGGTGGGTGATGTGAATGGAGCACTTCACTGCTTAAGTCTCATCCCTCACTCCCCGCAGCGCTCGGAAGCCGAGTGGTGTGTGTGTGTGAGCCGGCATGCTGCGCAGTAAGATTTTTATATTCTGCAGCAACCCTCCACACATAATATACAGCTTTTTAGTAATAATTTACACACCCAGTGTGATTTGTAAACCATTACTTTTTGGGGGGGCTTTAATGGTATATTTAACAGGCCAAACGGGACCAAATAAGAGAAGTTCAATGGAAGGGTAAATGTGGCAGGACATGGCTGGGCTTTGTCATGCTTTATGTCATGCTGCCACATACATGGTGTAGCCACAACATTATGACCACCCATCTAATATTGAGTAAGTCCCCCTTTTGCTGCCAAAACACCCCTGACCCATTGAGGCATGGACTCCACTAGACCTCTGAAGCTATGCTGTGGTGTCTTGCACCAAGCCGTCAGTACCAGATCCTTTAAGTCCTGTAAGGTGGGGCCTCCATGTATCGGACTTGATTTTCCTGCATATTCCTCTTTGTCGTCAGTTCACCAGTTTTCGTTCCTTGGATTTTTCTAGTAGGTCCTGATCACTGCAGACCGGGAAATTCCCACAATAGCTGAAGTTTTGCACCCAGTCATCTAGCCAATGGCACTTCCAGGTGCCATTGGAACGAGATAATCAATGTTATTCCACTTCTCCTCTCAGTGGTTATAATGTTATGGCTGATCGGTGTATATGTGTACGGCTGGCATATGTTTTGTGCTAGGAGCACGTTCAATCTTATGCCCTCAGCACTGTGACCACCCTGTCACCAAGTGCTCTGTCACACAGCAAAGATTGGGAGCCCATCCTATATGATCGTCAGTAACCATGATCACATAATTGGGAAGTTTAGAAAACAACTCCAGCTTTAAAGTGAACCTTTACACTCAAAAATCTAATTCTACCAATGCATCCCTCTATGTATGATGATTGATAATAACATAGACATGTCAGGTGTAAAATGCTGTGATTGTGAAATACTTACACTTGCAGAGCATTCACTTCCTGCTTTGAAAGTGCAAATGACTTCAGTTTGCCAAAGCAATGCACACTGGGATTACCTTGTCGTCAGCAGAGCATTGCTGGGACATCTCATCTGTAATGTGTTTGTTGTTATTTTAAAGATGTGGATAAAGGTCCACTTTAGGAACCAATTAAAGGGCCGGCATAAATGGTTTAATAACTTTATCCGGTGGCATACCGGTGCTTGGTTACACTTTTAAAAATGTCATCCCTCTTATGTTTGTGCCATTCCTTATCAATTGGATTTTTGGTGTCACATGGCCGTTATATTTTCTGCTGGAAAGTAAATGGCATTTACCCAATGCTTCCTAATCTTTGTTTTAGCCTTTTAGTGTTTCTTATAAAAGTTACTGTATATACTCGAGTATAAGCCGAGATTTTCAGCCCATTTTTTTGGGTGAAAAGTGCCCCCCTCGGCTTATACTCGAGTCAGCGCCAGCGCGTCTTCTTACTTACCTCGCCGAGCGTCGCGTCACTGCTGCTCCGGTGTGCGGCGCTCCGAGCGGGGTCATCTGGCAGTCTCCGGGTCCTAATTTAGGTGGCCGGAGACTGCCAGATGACCCCGCTCGGAGCGCCGCCCACCGGAGCAGCAGTGACGCGACGCTCGGCGAGGTAAGTAAGAAGAAAAGAAAAAAAACCCCGCAGCGCCAGTACAGCAGGGGAGCAGGGATGAGTCAGCGGCGCGCTGATCAGGCGAGAGGAGCTCCAGGTGGGGTTGTAATTTAGCGGGCAGGCACCTCTAAGCCAGCTAAATTAGGACCCCACCTGGAGCTCCTCCCACTGGACCAGCGCGCCGCTGACTCGTCCCTGCTCTCTCCGTGATGTGATGATCGATCACCGGCACACGGACACAGTGAGTGAGGGCGGGGGGTGGGGGGGGGGGGTAGAGAGAGAGATTCATTAAGCAATTATATATGTATTGTCTGCACTGTATTAGCAGTATATACTCTATATAGAGTATATACTGCTAATACAGTGCAGACAATACATTTACAATTATACTAACATGAATGTATTAAATGATCTGTATGTAGCCCTGTACTATGGATCATTTAACCCATTCATGTTAGCAGAGGATCATTGTAAATGTATTGTTGCAGGCACTCTATATGTACATGTACTATATACTACATATAGAGTGCACTGAACAATAGATTTACAATTATCCTCTGCTAATATGAATGGGTTAAATGATCCGTAGTACATGATATGTAGCCCTGTACCCCCTTTTCCACTTACAGAGTTAGGTTATTTTTCTTTTAAATAAATATTAATGTAATTTTATTGGTATCTATCTACCAGTAGCTGCCTCATTTCCCACCCTCGGCTTATATTCGGGTCAATACTTTTTCCCAGTTTTTTTTGGTCAAATTAGGTACCTCGGCTTATATTCGGGACGGCTTATACTCGAGTATATACGGTATCTACAATAATGATGTTATGAGAAACGGCTGCACAGTCCTTACCGTACGTCCCTGCGAGCCATTGTTTTATCCTCCAGCCAGAGATACTGGAGGAAGAATAATGCTCATCCATCATTAATTGTTTTCTTTATAAAACATGCACAGGCTCCTCTGCTCCACTCGGACTAGGGGGAGCTCAAATTGTAATAGACATTTTACACATTAAGGAAAATACATAATTCTGCTTTTAGTGGAAGTGGGCAATTAGTATTGATTATAATGTGTTGTGATTTTTATAAACATACTTTTACCACCTTAAGTTCCTGTTAAAATGTATTCCTTTTGTTTGTGGATAAAATATTTCTGTACTGACGCTGTTCTTAAAGGAGAACTGCACCCTCATACCCCTTACAGCCAAGGAAGGTGCCATCTTGGCCTCTATTTGGACTGCAGTTGACATGGTGCTGCACATGTAAGCAGCTATGACATCAGCCATTTGACGGCTTGAAAGTTCGGTTGAGAGCCGAAGTATGCACACTGGCAACCTTGACATCTGGCATTCCTTAAATGTAACTGTTTTGGAAGGCATTACATTGGTGGGCCTGGTTCCACTTTAACCAACGAGTACCAGCCTATATACAG